GCACCTCCATAAGACTGCCAGCTGATTCTGAAAATAAACTTTACAGGCTAGAAGGGATTGGAAAGAAATAGTCAAAGTCATGAAAAGCAGGGACCTACAGCCAAGACTGCTTTACCCAGCAAAGATATTTAGACTCAAAGGGCAGATAAAGAGCTTCCCAGACAAGAAAAAACTAAAGGAGTTCATCATCACCAAATCATTATTATATGAAATGTTAAAGGAGCAAACTAAGCAAACAAGAACAGAGAGAGAATCTTGGATATGGAGAGTATTCTGATGGTTGCTAGATGGGAGGGGGTGTGGGGGTATGGGTAAAGAAGTGAGGGGATTAAGAAGTACAAATAGGTAGTTACAGAATAGCCATGGGGATGTAAAGTACAGTATAGTAAATGGAGTAGCCAAAGAACCTATGCATGACCCGTGGACATGAACAATGGTGTGGGGATTGCCTGAGGGAGTGGAGTGCCTGGGTGGAGGGAGGTAAAGGGAGAAAAATCAGGAAAACTGCAATAGGAAAATCAATAAAATTAAAAAAAAAGATTTAGCCACACATGAATACAAACACACTTACACACAAAATCGATGGTTGGCTAAAGAGATGGTAAGGTAATTATATTAGGGGTCAAACAGCTTAAGCTTATTCACTCATTACTAGACATGTAATCACATAGCTGCTCTGGTTTCTAAAGAGCCCTGTATCCAAATCACCAAGATTTTAAAAACATATGTCAAGACTCTAGAAAAATGTCTGTCCTATTACTTTGTCTCACCGATTTTCTCTTTGTTATCAGTTAAATTTATTTCACAACAAAATTACGTGAGTGTCAGAATGTCTTCCTGGATTTTAAAACATCATTAATCTCCTGAGCTATGGTGAGGGTGTTAGGCCTGAGATACCTACATTTTATTTTAATAAAAGTTAGTGTCAATGAAATAGACTGGCTGTCTCTACTTTTTAAATCTGCTAAGACCTATATTTTCCAAAGTCAGAACTAAAATTTTCACAGGATCCTTGGAATATTACAAAAAAAAAAGTTTTCACAGCAAAATTTGAGAGAAAGGTACACAATTCTCAATATCCCGGCAGTATACTTTCCATTTTCTCACTCCTGTTTTAAAGTCTAACACCATTTGCTAGAGCAAGCTCACAAATGTTGTTAACCATTTCATCACCAATAAGGCCTCGAAACTCAGCAAACAAAACACCGGTGCTGGGAAAACACCTCTAGGAAGCACTGTGTGTGCATATGCATGTTCTCAGCCTCTGCATCATTCATCCAGTAAATCTGTATTGGGAACTTAAACTCCAAACCCTGTGTTAGGCACTGGGAGTTAGAAAAACAAGAGAGACACAAGTTGGTGTTTGTGGTCTAATAGGACCATATTTAGGCCACATGTAAAATAGTAGATAAAGAATACTACTGGTGACTGATAATGAACGTTTTGTCAGTTAACCCAGTAGCTCCTAGCTTACTACACAGTTGCATCTTAAAAGTACATTTGTAGGGGTGTAATAACATCAATATCCAGGTATGATATTATACTGTAGTTTTGCAAATTATTACATTGGTGGAAACTGGACAAAGTGTGTAGGGGATATCTCTATATTTCTTACATCTGCAGGTAAAGACGTAATTATGTCAACAAAGAATACATTTTGAGCCTTTAACTTAGATAAAAAAACAACTTTTCATGCACTGCCACAAACAGAAGTTGTGTCTAAGATCAGCCCATAGTATTTTTTATGTAATTTATAACACTCTTAGTATTAAATACAAATCTAAATGGCTCAGGTCCTCATTCTATTTAGTAGGATGACAGCAGCAGTTTCCTACAGTCAATCTATTAATGTCTTCCAACTCATAATTTAATTAAAAATATGATTATATCATCTCTTAGATTAAAATCTCAATGGTTTCCAAACCCTATATATAAAGCTTCTCAAGATGTGGCTCTTGCCTACCTTTCTAACCTTTAATGTCTGCCACCAGCCCAGAATATGATTTCTCTCTCATTTCCAAACCCTGCACAACTGTTTCCTCTGCCTGGAATGCCTTGCCCACTATCCGCATGGCAAATGCCTGCTTGTTCTTTACTCTTCATGACTCCTGTTTTCTCTTCTCAAAGACCTTCCCATCCCCTAGCAGAGCAAAGCCCTTCCTCCCCATCTGCCTGCTCTTAGGGGTCCTTATGCATGCTTTAGCAATGCACAAGGGGACTCATGTCTCACCCGTTTTAAAACTCTGGAAGGCACACTAGCAGCCATATTTCCTTTTATTTCCTCAACACCATCCACAGTACCTAGCATTTGGAAAGCACTCCAGTGTTTGTTGGAAGAATGGCACTGATGACCCTCAATGAGGTTCTGAGTCCATGAGCCTAAATTGCAAGTGGTAGGCTATTTCTCTGACAGAATTTAGTCAGAAAAAAAGAAAGAAGGAATATTGGTTTTATTTTAAAAAGAAGAGTTGAAAAGTAGTGTATGGAACAATTACTGAAAAAAGGTTGTTTGGGAGGCTGTCATGCACATAATGTATAAAATGAACAGTAAAGAAAACAAAGTACATCTTCTATACTACTCAACTGAGAAATTATTCTTAAGTATAAGTTATAGCAAACAACAAAGGGAAAGAAAGCCAAGGCAACGGTAGTCACATTATTTCCTGGCATTCTACCCAGCAGAGGTTCCTGTATGTATGTTAATATAGATGTAACTCTACATATGGAAGAAATGAGATAGATTTAGATCTGTCAAGATAAAATCATCCATAAGCTACATTAAGTGGGAAAAAGCAAGTACAGAACAATCAGTTCTCATTTGTATAAAAAAAAGAGGAGGAATGGAAGATAAAAACCTGTAAGCTTGAACAATAAAAAAATACCTGTAATAGTTCTAGTGAATCCCTAGAGGTAGTAAATAAGGCTTTGAGGTAAGAGGGAAATTTCACTGAATATTTCCTTTTAGCAATAATATTTACTATGAGCGTGTATCATGTTTTCATTTTTGAAAACCAGTAATAAAAAAAGTAACCCTAGATAAGGATGCTTGAAACACTTGGCATTTGTCACACTCAGAACCCATCCATGAGCTTGGAGACATCCAAGCCCCATGAAGAGGCCAAACATATATGCTCAAGTCAGCAGCCAGCACTGACTGTGGCCTGAGAGCAAGCCATCCACCCAAGACTGAAATGACTGGCACTACCTCCATCTGACTGCCACCACAGGAAAGGCCTTCAGTTAGAACTGCCCACTGAAGCCCAGTCAACTCCCAGGACTATCTGAGAAAATATTAAATTTTTGTTTAAAGCCACAGGAAAAAAATATAAAACTAGTTAGGATTTCTGTCTTAAAATGTCAGTTTGACCTCATGCATTGATTTCTATTCTGTCCTGGTAGCCCACTAAAATAACATTAAAAATTTTTTTAAGGTAAGAACCCACAGAGCAAGAAAACAGTAAAGAAAAAACCCACAAAGCAAAGAGCACTGCAGAAATGTCAAGGAAAACAGAGGAGAAATAGCTGCAGAACCTGGAAGCTGGAAAACAGATTGCCTAACTTTTAGCAGACCTAAGAAATCAGGGACAGCTACTAGTATTTTCCAGAGAAAACTGAGCAGAAAAGGCTCAGTGGAAGGCAAGGATGAGGCCTGGGCTTCTAAACTAGAGTATTAAATAAAAATCTATTAATAGCCCTGGATGGGGTGGCTTAGTGGGTTAAGTACTAGCCTGTGAACCCAAAGGTCACCAGTTCAATTCCTGGTCAGGGAACATGCCTGGGTCGCAGACTAGGTCCCAATTGGGAGCATGCAAGGAGCAACTGAGTGGTGTATCTCTGGCACACTGATGTTTCTTTCCCCCTCTTTCTCCCTCCCTTCCCCTCTTTCTAAAAATAAAAATAAGTTTGAAAAAAAATCTACTAAGTGGAGGCCCAGCCAGAGTAGTAAATTGTGAGTAGAATAAATGTATTTTTATATTTACCTTCTAATCACATTTCATAGTAAACCATTGGAGGCCATGCTTACAACAAAATGAGGGTATAAACCCAGAAATTGGAAGGCACAGGACAGAAGAAATGAGGAGGCCAAATGGTGAGGGCAGGTAAGCAGTAGGCCTGCAAGTAGCCAGTTCAAATAGGAACAGGACCACAGACGTCTCCAGAACAGAGGCGTCTAGGAAAAAAGAGAGAACTGATACGCTATCTGATTTGTGTGCACATTTGAAAAAGCTACCAACAGACATGAAACAGATCCAATGGAAAAATTAAGGACTGCTGCACAAAAATTTACAAATGTGGAGAAAAGGTGAAGCAGTTATTAAGTTCTAGAAAAATAATATGTTATAAAGGAAAGAAGATTTAATCACAAATGCTATATAGAAAGTGATATTTTAGGCACTTGTTTAATGATGCAAATCCAACTTTTAAAAAGCACATGTCTAAATCAATTTCTTAGAAGTTTTTATGATGAGGAACTTTAAATCTATCATTCCAACTTTATCCTAAGTATCTGATTCTTAACATAAAAATCATTAAAAAATGTGTCACAGCATACTATAAACAAAGATAATACATATATATACATATTGTGAATATATAATAAATCATGTCAGGAAAACCAAGTACCCTAACTAATTCTACATGAAAACTCTATTAACTAGGAACAAATAAAGCAATATAAATGTGAAAGTTTCTTTGGAAATTATACCTGGTTGTATCAATCTACATATTTATAGAAGTTTCTTTACTACAATTTGCTAAGACAGCTTTCAAATGTATGGAATGACTATTAAAAATGTATTTTTTAAAACCACCATTGCAGAATAATTGCTATTTAAGACTCTAATGAAAATGAATAGCTTTTTACTTGGGAAAATTAAAAAAAGAAGCTGGATTAAAATGTAACAAATATAAGATGTTATGAATTTAAATAACATAAATAAAAATAAACATGTAAAATATATTAGCTGCATTACCAGCACAAAGTATTTTCCTTAACTTACCTGCCAGATAGAGGGCAAATGATATGAATCTATGGTAGCGAATGAGGAACTGAAGTTGCTCTTCTCTTTGAACAAATGTAGCAAAATAATCAGCTACAGTCTCTCCATAGAAAAAGTAGTTTACACAAAGTAGAAAGTACCTGTAATTTAAAAATGATGAATTTTTTAAGTATTTGATGCTTTCCCCCCTCAAATACCTTAAAACTATACACTTTGATGATGATACAAAGATCAAAACCAAAATCAGAAGACTGGTTCAGGATATATTCCACCAAATGCTTTTCACTTAATTTAAAAATTATCTGTCAACAAAAGTTTACTGAATACGGTTCATGCCTTGACTTAGCTCAAAATCTAATGCCAGAGACAGATAATTAAAAAACTATATAGAAAATATTTTCTCTCACTCTCTTAACTACTCACTGCTCTAGTGCTTTTTCATAGTAGAGATCCTAAGCCAAATTCCCACCTGCCCTGCACACATTGACATCTTTCTCCTCTCCTCAGTGTCCCAGATGGACTCCCTCCTCCGAGCTCTGGCTTATCTCTTCCCCCAGGGAAAGGTTGGAACCACGAGATTTTGTTGATGGGAGTGCGTGTGAGCCTGGAAAAAAGGCTGAGGAACACTGTCCTAGAGTTCCTAGGTGTGTCCTTTGAAGGGCAGACTCCTAGGTAGCCAGGAGAGCAAAAGAGGAAAGGGATGCTTCCCTCGAATCTCACGGCTAGAATCAGGTCCTACTGTTCTCAAAGTAGAGTTAAGTATTTTTACTTGTACCAGCTGTGCTACCATTTTTCTATTCTCCCACACTGGAAACTATCTCTGACTCCTCTGTAAGGCTATCTGGGCCTACTCTAACCCACCAGTACAACTTCTTGCCGTCTGTTGCCTAATGAATACCTTCTGCTCAGGGGGGCCAGGAATATCTCACCAAGTGGGGCACATGCCTCCTCAGTCCCATGCCTAGAGTGTGATGACGGCTGCTTCCCCAACTAGAACGCTCCTCTATCAAAAGCTTGCTTTTACTTTAAGTGACAGGGTTTCTCTCATCTTCTTTCTCCATGAAGCCTTCTACAATCACTGGAGCCTATCCTGACCTACCCTTTTCCCCTACATTTACAATCAGTCCTGAATGGTTTCACACTTAATTATTCTCCAACTAATTAATCTACCTAACATTTCCCGTATACTTTGCCACTCATGAAAATCAGCTATTACCAAAAATCAAGAAACTGTTTTTTACTATTCCGAACAAAAACAATCAGTAATTTGTTTTAAAAAACACTGGCCCCTCTGGCTGATACCAATCAAGGAACTATATTCAAATGCATGGCTAATTAGGTTAATCATGAACTGTCATATCATCATGTTTCCTGGTCAAGTTCTTGATAACTAAGGATTATCCTTGAAAAGTATGTAAAATATATAAAAGTTTAAATATTAAAACCATTACATATTTTATTTTACTAATTTTTACATGCATTTGTGCACATGCAATATGTCATGGGCAGGTAACTCAGCCAGCACTGTTTACAAGGGTGCCTCTACACTGCCCCCATCAGAGCCCTCCTCTCTCCCATCTACTCTCGTATCACCAGTCATGGGGCCAAGGGCCTGGAGAGGAGACTGAACCAGGCAACAGAGGTGGGGTCACCCCTCCTTCCACTGCTCCCCTCTCCCACCCTGGGCCTATGACGGCTGTGGAGACAGTGGGCCCGACTGCAGAAGGAAGTCCAAACATTCAGCTTGGACTTCTTCTTCCTGAATAAACCACTGATCGTTCAAAAAATAAACAAAAACACTGCCTTGGCCAGTGTGCCACAGTTACTTGGGAGTCATCCCGCAAACCTAATTCCCAGCAAATCCCTCTGGGAATTGCTGGTTCGATTCCCAGTCAGGGCACGTGCCTGGGGTGTAGTTGAGGGTGTGTGAGAGGCAATCAATGGATTTTTCTCTCTCACATCAATGTTTTCCTCCCTCTCTCTATCCCTCCCTTGACCCCTCTCTAAAATCAATAAGCATGTCCTAGGATGAGGATAAAATAAAAAACAACTATTTTTATATCTCATCTTTCATTCTTTGTAGAGATATTTAATTTTGTGTGTGGTTTCATGTCAACTGAAGGAGGGAAGCAAAACATCACACAATTGTAACATTTTACAAAATTAAACTTTTGTTAAAATTTTAACTACAAAGGATGTAAAATGTGTCCAATATAAGAGGATTTTTTTTTTTACTGGACAGAAATGGTGTATATGTTCAATATAAACTGGCTATCTCTATAAAAAGCGAAAGATGAGATATAAAAATAGTTGTGTTGGAATGGAGAGTTGAAAGTGATTTTCTGCTTATCAAAATTCAGTTGCATTTTTTAATTAATCTTTCTCCAAAATCAATCTATAAGGTCAACTACATGAACACTCTTTGATCAGATGCCACTCTTATAAACTTTAGAAAAGAGTCACATTTCATACCTGAAAGTCTTAAGTTACTTACCAGCTTAGTGTTCTAAACCACGGTAGGTCATAAGAATGATAGACTCTGTAACCAATAGTGATAATTTCATGGAAGCATTTCACTTGGATGCCTAGAACCTGAAGACAAGAGAAAGCACTGACATGCATTCCTCAAAGCTTACATTTGTGCTTAACTGTTTAGTAGGTAGCTTATTGTATGTGTTTTAGCCTATCCATTTTTGATTATTCTAAATGTCTGTAGCAAAAATTCAATATTCAACATCCCTGAACTCAAGTGATGCCCCACGGGGGTAAGCAAAACAAGTTTTATTGAGAGACCCTTCCTGGGGCCGGATGTGCAGGGTGGTTCAAGGTTGAGGGGTATCATCTGCTTGGTCACAGGTAACTAGGCTTTATCACTCATTACAACTTTGTTTCTTAAGGTTGTCCATCTCAAGATGGACAATCTTTTTGTCCATTTTGTTTCTTGAGCTACCCGAGGAAAACAATCATATGTGAAAGTTTTCCTGATTATATTCATGATGAACCATACACTCTGGAATACTTGCCAAGGATAAAGGTACTGTCAGGAAAAATGGCTGACACACTTACCCATTCATCCAGGGGCTTGGCATGGTCATTTCACTCTTCCAGCTGGGCTGACTCTCCCATAGCCAGCCACACACATCTCTGATCACCAGGCATTGCTACCTTGGCAAATTATGAGCAGCTTTGTACATTTGCAGCCACTCTGGCCAATTAATCATGTCTATGCTGTTCTATTTGCACAATTTTAAATATACACACCTACTAAATCAGTTTATATTTATGAGTCCCTTGTTTTGATGGTCTATTTAGTAGTCCTTCAAACTGCTGGATCCACCAATCTGGGTAAAGGTAGTCCTGAAAATGTAGCAGCATACACAATGCTTGGCTTAAATCGATTCCAAGACTCAGAGTGAATGGTAAGTGGAAGGCTTATTTTCGTGAACTAAGATTAAATCTTTGTGAATATAGCAGACTAACTCTTTTAAACTTTTAAGAGTACAGAGCACACCAAAGGGCTTTTTGAATAGTCCTGAAGCTAAGAATGGGTTTTATATCTTTTAAGAGTTAAAAACAAACAAACAGGCTCTGGATGGTATGGCTCAGTGTGTTGAGTACCAGCCTGTGACCAAAAGGGTTGCAAGTTTGATTCCCAGTCAGTGCACATGCCTGGGTTGTGGGTCAGGTCCCCAGTAGGGGGCATGCAAGAGGCAACCACATATTGATGTTTCCCTTCTTTCTCCCTCCCTTCCCCTTTCTCTAAAAATAAATAAATATTTTTAACAATTAAAAAAAATTTAAACAAAAAAAATCAAAGATTATGTGACAGAGACATCTGTACCTTTTTTTGGTCTTTCTTGTATGTAGTTTCTTAAAGCCTAAAATATTACTATCTGGTCCTTTACAGAACAAGTTTACCAAACTCTGCCCAAGAACATACTTTGAGATTTCTTATATGATCTCCACAAATTAGCATCCCCACACTTACTGTTCAGAATATTTCCCCCACTATACCTACTACATGTTCAACCACATACATAAAAAAGTCATTGTGTCCCATCAGCCACACGGTAAGAAATTATTATACTGAACTACTATAAATAGTTATTTTAAGGAAAAAGCCATAAATGTGTTATAAAGACAAGAGGAAATTTAAATACTGTCCTTCAAATAAACTTTGTACATAACACCAAAATAATTTTTAAACAAAATAATCACAGACAACTTTAGATGTTAAGATAAAATAGCAAAGCCATGCTGTTTATAGAAATAAGGACTATTAAAACATTAAACACACTGATGCAATTTCTATGAATACATTTGCTCAAAAACCATTAGCTCTATATGTGGTATTTCACGGAGAGGAAAAAAAGTATTTTTAATAGCACATACATATATTTATATGATTGTCAACTATAGCGTACAAGTAGAATTGACATAGAACTGCTAGCAAAACAGAAAAGAGGACTCAGACACTAGAGTTAAAATCCTTAAAATATATGTATGTCTTCCAGGGCTGGGTGAATACACAGAAACCGACACTCCACGCCGTCAATACTGGTAGCAATGCATATTAATAGAACTCTGTTGGCCCAGTTAATGTGTTAAGAGCCTTAAAAACAACAACTATTACATAGGTGCCTATTCTGCTAGTTACTGACAATTCACAGAAATAATATAGGACATCTGTTCTCAGAGAGGCATTGTCTGTCCGGGAGGATACACACAACTATACAGTAACACCATGTGGCAACAGGCACATGGGTATAAATGAGCACAGGCAAACAAAAAACTGTGGAAGGGGGTGGGGATAGGCCCCAGCTGGGGCCCACAGGGAGGATCAGAATTCTGTTTTTAGGAGTGGACGAGGCATGTGGTTCAGAGTTGCTGGCACACTCAGGTGGGGTAAGAAGTGGAGAGAGACAAACCTAGTCACAGAATCAGGAAATAGCACAAAAGAGTTTGTGCTGATTGTGAAAGGACATGATTAGACGTGAGTGTATGGGGAGCATAGAAGCGGAAAGAACTGACTGGAGAGGCAAGGCCCCAGCGTCTGGAGGAATGTGGACAAACATCTTACTGGAACAGTGGCAGTAGGGTGGAGTACAAGAATAGGAGACATTGAGGAAAAAGAACCAACAGGCTTTGGTGGTTGAGGAAATTGGGGACCTAAAGGAGAGAGAGGAGCACAGAATAACACTAGGAACAGCTTGGTAAATAGATTTATGCAGAATGGCTATGGTTGGAATAGAAGTTCAGGTCTGCATATATTGAGTCTGAACTATGTATGGTACCTGAAGGTTATCCAAATGAAAGTGCCTATTTTCAGCCCTGGCTGGTGTGGATCAGTGGATTGAGCACTGGCCTGTGAACCAAAGGGTTGCTGGTTCTATTCCCTGTCAGGGTACATGCCTGGGTTGCAGGGCAGGTCCCCAGTTAGGGGCATGTGTGCATGAGAGGCAACGACACATTGAAGTTTCTCTCCTTCTCTTTTTCCCTCCCTTCCCATCTGTCTAAAAATAAATAAATAAAATCTTTTAAAAAGTACCTGTTTTCATTTTGGGGGAATCTATTCAAAGAAAATTATACTGCATATGAAAAGGTTTTACATTCTAATATGTTTAGGATAGTGTTAGTCACAATAAAGAAACACCAGCACATAACCTGAATATCTAAAAATAACACAATGGTTTAAATAACTTATGAGGGCTCCACTCCATTGAGCAGATTAATGTACTAAAGCTGATGGTTGTAAAAACTGTAGAATAACACAAAATATTTGATACAACACATAGTTTACAAAGCAGGATACAAAATTTTAGTCACATTATGACTACAACCATGGTTTCTAAAACACAAAAGAAAAAAGGATTAAAAGAGGCATATCAAATGGCAGTATTAATTGGGTTTTGGTGGTTAATGATTGGGTTGGATGATTTTTAAAAATTATCTACTTTCCAAAGTAAGCTTAATATACTTTTATACTATTGCAATGGGGAAAAATTTAAATATACTATTAAAAAGTAATTTATATAATATACATTAAAATAATTATTACAGGAATTTCTAAGAAGGTGTGGGGGAGGGATTTCTACAATATCTTCTCTATCTGCACATCTGCTTTAAATCGAAATATGATTTAATAACTCCGTCATTTAGAAACTGTGATTCTAAGCTGTGAATGCAATAATCAAAGTGCTGTAAACAGAAGTCTGAAGGTAAAAAGTTCACTTTAAGGAACATGAGTATGAGTTCCATCTTAAAATAGTAGCTATCATTTCCTAGAAGTAAGTTTTTAATAATATTCTCTTGAATTAGTCATTTTTAAGTGCCAATATTACTAAGCAAATGCAAGCTAGATACAATGTATATGACTCAAAATATAAGTGACCTAGTTAGGGATATAAATGTAAATAAGGCTTTAAAACACAGAAAAGTAATATCAACTGTGTACTCACAGCATGTGTGTCTGTGTGTATATGCATCCATATTCCCTTAACATAATATAAATACAGCACATGTATGTATACAGGTGTAGGTGTGTGCAGACATGTGTGTGCATGCATGTGCTATAAACCTCAGAGCAATAACTGTTCAAATCTTTAATATTCTTATATATGCTTTAATACTCTTATATTCTTCTCTGATTAAGGTCAAAGAAATAACTTGTAATAAAATAGTATTTTCCTTTCATAGTAGAAAAAAATTAACAAAAAAGCCCAAGTGCTTTAGGCATACTTATGATTCTCTTTTAAAAAATCAGAGTCCAAACATGCAGGGATGTCTTTAAAGGTGTTTTGAATTTTGTCATAAAAGAGTAGTTAAAAACTAGCCTCTATCTACAAATTCTGGCCCTAGTTACCACACCAGACAGTTTAGTTGGAAGACAATGTCATTCATTCACAGGGAGCCCGCCAAATCAGTCTGAGCCAGGGTATCAAGGATGTGGGTGTTTTGTAATATCTTGATCAAAATGATCTTCTAAAGGAGAATCAAAATTGAAATAATCCATAATATTTTCAATGGCTCCTCGATACTTTACAATTAAATCCTAAGCTTCTTCAGGTAGCATTGTAAGGTCCTACAGAATCTGATGCATAATTATTCTTCCAGGTTCAAAGGCCCTATGCTCTAGGAAAAGGGCATCACCTGCCTTTTCCTGACATACCTCACTGTGTGGACCTTTGTTAGGACCTTTGCTCACAGCAGGCACTCACTCCACCCTAATAGAGCCTCAAGGTCCACTCAAAGGTTCCTTCATACACAAAGCCTTATGAGCTGCCTGCCATTATCTAATCCCTTCTTCCCCAAGCTCCACCACTCACACAGCACTGAGATGTGCACACACTCACTCTTTAAATGCCTATGTCTGGGCCAGTGGCAGTCATTCAGCATAGCCCCCAGTGGGTTCAGACTGAGAAGACTAGGAGCTGGGGCCCTTCTCTCCCATCACGTATGCACAGTGCTCACACTACCTACCTGACTTTCAGACTTAGCATCTGCCCTCATATTAACTCATCCCTATCCCTTATTCACTTTTCTTTGTTAGAAAAAAAACAACTCTTCAAGATGTCATCAAATTAAAAGAACACAAAGAAATTTCTTACTCATTTTTGTGACCCTGATATCCCCAAGGAAGTACAAAGTTAATCACAGGACAAAAAGAAAAGTGAAAGGGCTTTGTGGTGCTTAGAAGAGCTACTTTAAGTGGTTTTTAAGTGGTTTCAGGGTTTGACAGAATTTTTTTCTAATAGTGTCTATTTTCAGTTCAACATGTTTTCTTTCGTAAACCAAAAAGAAAACCATATCATACTGCCTGCAGCTTAGTGCTCTGAATAGGACTGAGCACGGTGGGGGAGGGGTTAGCCAGGTGAAATAGGTAAACAGACTTCTAAGTGGGCAAGGGCAACCAGGAAAGAGGAAGGCAAGTACATACGAGGAGGCTAAACTAATGGAGATGGGATGAAGAAAAAGAAATAATAAAGGGATACGGTCTGCATATTTCTGAGAGCAGGCTCTCACTGTTCACTGCTAAACACACTGAGCACCCGGTAATGAATCTATTGAACAGATGCATTTCTCCTTCCACTCCTGCCACTTGGGGTTTCAGATGCTTCATGCTGCTTCAGATATCAAGGCTTTTACACACAGGAGTCCTCCACTGTGACCCTCCTTCCCCCAAGCTCCCTCTGTCACCACGCTGTCTGTCTTCTTCAGACCACAATGCACATGCTGGGCTCATGTCTCTGAGAAGTCTCCCAGATCACGCTTTGCTTTCATCAAATCCTTTTTTTTTTTAAATTAAATGCTCAGAGCAATTTGTAATTATATGTCTGATCAATTGTTTGTAATGTAGATAATGAGCTCCAGAATGGCACAGACAGCTGCGTTTTTCTCAGCACCACTGTACCACACCCCAGAACAAGCACAATGCCTGGCACATAGCAGGCATCCTAGAAGCATCTGCAAAATGAATGAATTAAAAGCTTAAAATACTTGTTTGGCTTTAAGATTTCTTGGGCTTTCCATACACGACAAAACCCCCAACTCCCAGAATAGCCTCTACTTGCCTCTGTGGTTCATCTCTAGATGCCCTCCACGTGTACAACTAGCAGATCCCCACACAGACCACATGCTCTCATTCTGCCTCTGCCCTGCCCAGGATGCCCCACCCTGGATGGCCTTCCCCTGCCCAGTCCCTCCTTCAGCACTCAGCTTTGTCATCACCTCTTCTGAAAGTCTTTCTTCATCTCTGTCTCACATTGTTTTAGGCACTTTTCACTGTGCTCTCCCAAGTTCTATCATGAGACTTACCTCATTTATTGGCTATCCTAATTGATTTATAAGGTTGGTTGTATGCCTCTTCCATTTGATTGAATTCCTTGAAGTTGGGGACCTAGCTAACAGTCACATATGTTGAAGCCATGTATGTGTTAATCTCATGCTTGGCACAATGTCTGACAAAGAAACATTAACTTGATCTCTGCTAAATGAACACATTCAATGGACATTTTTCAAACAGACAAAATTAGCCCAGTTCATTTCATGAACTAGAAGATGCTTAAAGGAACTAAATTTGCTGTTACCAAGTCTTAAACTACTTTCTTTTTCATGACATGCTCAAATGACTTCAATATCAATGCTGAAAAACAATGCAAGAGACACTTAAGGAAATGTAAAACACTTACAAGAAGCATCAGCATAAAAGATCCCATATAGATGATCAGGAAAAACAATGAAATCATAGTTAGAGTAAGAATGCCACGAATCCACCAGTTTTTCCACCTGCAAAGAAAATGTTTATAAAGTCATAAAGTCAGCACTTAATGTGTTCTTACAGTATTTTTTTGTGTGTGGTTTCAGTATCCAGTTGCTAGACCTAAGGATTTTCCCCAACTATACTTTAAGACCCTTACTTCACCTTATAACAAAAAACAAAACCCAACCAACCAAAGAACATTCACTCACTGAGAGCTAAATTATATGTAAAAATTATGTTAGTCAAAGAAAAAAAAACCTGATTTTTGTTTATTCTGAATAAGGATGAATCATGAGGCTAGGCAATGAAGTGGTTAGTGTGGATATGTGTTCTGCCATGGTGATTCAGAAGGGAAGAAAGAACAGGGTGCAAAAGCCCTCTATAAAGGTGGCTATAAAGATGATGGCCAATCATCTGGGGTACCACATGATTTTAAGGAGGTACAGAAAGCAAGCATGACCTTTTAATGAGAAAAACTCAAGAAAGGCTGACACAGAACCTAAACTGGAGGACAGAGCCATTTCTGTGAAATGAAGAAGGTGCAAAAAGGTCAGCCCCAGAGGACAAGGCCAGATTGAAAGTCACTTCCTTCTATTGCTGAGTGTGCTGCCTACTTTCCTTGATTAGAGACAGCAGTAGAAAAATATTTTCTTTTTTTTTTTTTACTGTTGTTCAAGTACAGTTATCTCCATTTTCCCCTCACCACTCCCTCCCACCCCAGCCATCCCCACCTCCCACCCTCAATTCTACCCCTCTTTGGTTTTGTCCATGTGCCCTTTATACATGTTCCTGACAACCCTTCCCCTTTTCCATCCATTGTCCCCTCCCACGTTCCCTCTGGTCACTGTCGGTTTGTTCTTAATTTCAATGTCTCTGGTTATATTTTGCTTGCTTGTTTGTTTTGTTGATTATGTTTATTCTTGGGTCCTTTCTTGTTCCTTAGAGCAGAGCAACCCTAGTGGTACACCCAACTAGTTCCTGGCCAGCTGAGAACAGATCTCCCCCAATCCCTGGGCAGGGCCTGGGGTGCCCAACTGCTTCTCCACCCCCAAGAGACTCTCATGTCAATCCCCAGTGTACCTGACAAATACTGTCACTCTTTATGAGGCCATGTCATAAAAACGTCACCAGCAGCTGCTGTATGAAACATTTAAAATGATTCTAATAATACCTCTACATGGATGATGATTTCTGAATGTAAAATTGCTGCCCGTCTGCTTTTATTCATTCTAAATGCATTTTATATTACACTCACAATGAAGTCTTCTTCTTCAAGACTTTTCTGATTTCTATTAATACTAATGATAGTATCTAAATTAGTTACAAAAGATCTGTATTCAACTTTTTAAATATAACATATACGTACAATATTTAAGCAAGTCTGTTATTACCCTTCCCATAGAAATAAATATTTGCCAATTTTATCTATTTATCAAATATCAACATAGTCCAGATACTTTTAAAATACCCCTTTTGTCATGTCATTTCTGCACTCAAGATCTAAAATGCCAAAATTAAGTCTAAACTCTTTTATCTAGCTTCCAAGATTTTTCAAGAGGTGGTCAAATTGTACTTACCCAACTTTATTTCCCTCTATTGTTTAAGAAACTGTGTAGACTCATAATTTCTCACAGACTGTAAGCTTTGGGGCTGAACTGAAGTAGACTGAACTGAAATGAATGTAGAGTCAAAAATTCTCTAGCTGAAAGGTTCTATTTAGTTTTATAGATATAACCCTCTATAGATTAATGAATGGATTAGGAAACTGAGCTACGTCACAGAGCTGATCAGAGGTAAATAAAGGATCATAAGCCAGTCCTCTGATAATAATCCTGACCTGCCTGCACAAAATCCAGACATGTCTTAGTCCTTCTTTATAACTGATCCTCAGACTTAGGATTATCGAGAACCTATTCTAGTCAAGAGGACAAGGCATGTCGGAAATCAGCCCCTAGGTAGATGTTGCCAGTGTCTGAGTCTACCTATCTTAGATGCCTGGCTTTGATCTTCAGAGGATGGTAGCCACCCAGAACCAGAGATTTTAAACAGGGAACCTACTCTCTTCATATCACCCAAAATTCCATAATAACTGAAAACGGGGATCTTAGAGGAACATATTGTGTCTGGCTGTCTTTGATATGGATATTTCCCTTCTGAGAAAAATTCCCTTCCCCCCAAAAGACCAAAGACTTACTTCCCTTATTTATTTTAACTGACTCCCCAAATTCCCCCAAAATACCTACTACAAAGTTAAACACATACTTAAACATAACATATGTATCCACTGATATAGTAGCCAAAAGTCATCTTTCAGGAGAGAAGCACTGAATTTGACACAACATGATATAAAAACATAAAATAAAATCATTGTTACTAAAAATCAGAGTCTGAGTCTGAATTTAAAATTCTCAATTTCCTTTACCACACTTCCATGATTACATTAGAAAAAGTCTCAATTTTGATTCCAAGTCATCGCCTCACAGACTGTTTCTATAAAAAGGAACTTAGAATTAGTAGAGGAGAATTTCATTCAAGTTTCATGTCTCCAGGAGCTACCTGAGCTAGAAATGACATTTCCAAAAAGTATATAATTAAGCAATACCCTTAAAAGTGATCATAAAAGTGGTTACACACATTGTTCAAATCAATCTGGATATGTACAATGACTTACTGTGACTACCACTATTAATTAGTTTCTATTTCAAAAGTAATGACAAGTTAAAACAACAACAACATAAAAAACTAGTGCCAAAAGCATCAAGAGGCATCAAGAACCCGGGCTGGCAAGCAGTTCACCTGAGCAAAGAACTGTGACACAGAGGCATGCCTCAAAAATAAACAAGAGCTCAGCGGGCCATCTGGCAAATAGAGGGCGATTTGAGAATGTCTATCCACCACCCTTAGAGAAGGTGGACAGGAAGTCTGCAGGTTCCCAGAAAAGAAGGAAGATGGCTCATGCAGTATAAGAGCACCAGTAAGGCTACATACCTGGATATTTCCTTGGTGTCTCAGCCTCAGAACTAGCATGTTTGTGCCAGATAATTCTTTGTTGTGAGGAGCTGTTCTTATGTACTGCAGGGTGTTTAGCATCCTCCCTGGCCTCTACCCCACTAGATGCTAGTAGTAATGTCTCTCATTGTGACAACCAAAAATGGTCTCCAGACATTGCCAAGTGTCTACAGGGGAGGTGGGGACAAAATCCAGGGCACTGTCTCTGGATGAAAACTTCTAAACTAGACTGTGGCTAAAGAGGTGCACTAAAGGATAAAGCCAGACTTAAATGACTAATGAATATTCACACACACAGGTCAAGAAACAGATTGGGAAAACTTGCCAAGTGACTGAAGACCTTTCAGGCCCCTTCTGATTTCCACAACTTAAGATTTTTTGACATTATATATTAAAACCTCAAAAGTGAGCTTAAATCTTCAACAAGAATTTCACTTTTAAGATTTTATCCTAAGGAAATAATTATAGACACTAAATAAAAGCATCTGTAAAGAAAAATGTTTAATGAAGAGTTGTTTTTGATTGTGAGAATTTATAAATCAGCTAAATACCCAGCAATAGCTGGTTGGTTGAGTAAATTGAACTACAGTTATACAAAGGAATATATCATGCAGCCATTCAAAATATTTAAATATATTTAAAGGTATTTACTCCTAATATGACAGAATTATAATAAAAATAGAAAGGCAGGGAATGGCACAACACTATTTTATACCACACACACACACACACACGCACAATGCATACAAGAAAAAATGTTTCAGAGTGAATACCACAATATTTTAAATATAAACATTTTGGTGAGAGGATTATAGGGTTTTTTTCCTACAAGTTACAGACATTTCTTATATAATTAGTACTTTTTTTGTGGGAAATTTCTTTTTAATATATTTTATTGATTATGCTATTACAGTTGTCCCGTTTTCCCCCCGTACACCCTCTCCCACCCACATTCCCTTTAGTTCATGTCCATGTGTCATACTTATAAGTTCTGTAGCTTCTACATTTCCCATACTATCCTTACCCTCCCCCTATTTTCAACCTACAATCTATGCTACTTATTCTCTGTACCTTTTCCCCCTCTCTCCTCCTCCCACTCCCCTGTTGCTAACCCTCCATGTGATCTCCATTTCTGTGGTTCTGTTCCTGTTCTAGTTGTTTGCTTAGTTTCTTTTGGTTTTGCTTTAGGTGTGTTTGTTAATAATTGTGAGTTTGCTGTCCTTTTACTATACATGTTTTTTTCTTTATCTTCTTTTCTTAGATAAGTCCCTTTAACATTTCATAAAATAAGGGCTTGGTGATGATGAACTCCTTTAACTTGACCTTATCTGAGAAGCACTTTATCTGCTCTTCCATTCTAAATGAAAGCTTTGCTGGATAGAGAAATCTGGGGTATAGGTCCTTGTCTTTCATGACTTGGAATATTTCTTTCCAGCCCCTTCTTGCCTGTAAGGTCCCTTTTGAGAAATCAGCTGACAGTCTGATGGGAACTCCTTTGTAGGTGACTGTCTCCTTATCTCTTGCTGCTTCTAGGATTCTCTCCTTCATTTTTACCTTGGCTAATGTAATTATGATGTGCCTTGGTGTGTTTCTTCTTGGGTCCAACTTCTTTGGGGCTCTCTGAGCTTCCTGTATTTCCTGGTAGTCTATTTCCTTTGCCAGATTGGGGAAGTCCTCCTTTATTATTTGTTCAAATACATTTTCAATCTGTTGCTCTACCTCTTCCCCTTCTGGTACCCCTATAATTCGGATGTTGGGACATTTAAAGATGTCCTGGAGGTTCCTCAGCTTCTCCTCGTTTTTTTGAATCCTTATTTCTTCATTATTTCCTGTTTGGTTGTTTTTTCCTTCCTTCTGGTCCACTCTGTTGTTTTCAGTCCCAGTTTCCTTCTCATCACTGTTGGTTCTCTGTGCATCTTCCTTCATCTCTTTTATGGTAACCTGCATTTTTTCATGTAATTTGCGCCCAAAATCAACCAATTCTGTGAACTTCCTGATCCCCAGTGTTTTGAACTGT